GAGAGAGAGAGAGAGAGAGAGAGAGAGAGAGAGAGAGAGAATTTGCTGTTTTTGCAGAGGGCTCAGGTTCAGTTCAAAGCATCTACATGGTAACATCTTAAACAATCTGTAACTCTATTGCCAGGGGATCTGACATCTTCTTTAGGTCACCTGGGACCCCAGGCACATTCGGTACACATACATACATACATATAGGAAACCCATGCACATGTGCAAATACACACACACACACACACACACACACACACACACACGACATCCTCTGGCTGAACCCACCATTTTCCAGTAATTTGCTGAAATAACAAACATGAAGGGAAAAGGAGAAGCAATCAATATTTGTTCTCTAGGTCTCTAGAAGCAGAGCTGTTTCTTTGGCCACATATGCAAGCGTCTACAAGAACGGTGACATTGTAGACAAAGTGAATGGGCTGCTCAAAAGGAGGCATGCTTATGAAGGTTACCATAGCAAGCCTGGAAGAGTCTACAGTGTTACCCAGCATGTACTTGTCACTGTTAAACAAGCAGGTGAAGGGTGTGATTCCTGGGAAGAAGTTTACTGAGTATATTGAGCATATAAAGAACTATAAGGGTTAAGGCTTTGGCAATGAGTACAGAGTGCTTGTCTTAGAAACATAAAGATTTGCTTTCTATCTCTAGAACCCATGTGGCAAAAAACAGGTGTCATTGTTGTGCTTTGTAATCCCAGGCCTGGGAAAACAGAGACACATGAAATCCTGGGGTTGGACAATCTAGCCAGGGAATTGAGACACCCTCCCAACAACAAGGGAGAATTAGTGAAGATTGTCCTCTGACTTTCACAGGTATGAATCCGTACATTCACATATACCTGCACACTCATGAACACAAAGAACTGTAAGTCCTCAATTAGCTTCCTGATATAGGTAAGGAAACAATTAGATAAAGAAGGAAGCCAAAGCCCGGTGTTGGTGGGGCACACCTTTAATCCCAGCACTCCGGAGGCAGAGGCAGGCGGATCTCTGAGAGATAGAGGCCAGCCTGGTCTCCAGAGCAAGTGCCAGGATAGGCTCCAAAGCTACACAGAGAAACCCTGTCTTGAAAAACCAGAAAAAAAGAAGGAAGCCAAAGAGAGTCCAAAGCGCCAACCTGCTCCAACCACAGCACACATGGTTTGAGCACTAAGGAAAACAGTGGGATCTACCCCCTACGACCTTGTGTCTTAATAGAAGTCAAAAGTAAAATAAAATAAAAGGTTTCTAAATTTTAAAGATCTTTTTCTTAATTAAATCAAAGTGTGATGCACTCTCCCCCAAAGAAATATGTAAAGCAGAAAAAACAACAAAATCTCAATCCTAGGATAACTGTGAACACAGGCAAGCTTTCATGTTGAGGAATTTGTGAGAACCAAGGTAAGGACAATTTAATTTTCAAGTCCTCAGAGCATGGAGAAGACAAATACAGAGTCCAGAGGCCAGGATAAGGCAGGAAGTCTAGTGGAGACCCCCAGCATGGTCATCTCAAAGAGCAAGCTGTCACAGGACGTTTTATGGAGCCACACGGGAAGTTGCCTTTCTTAAAACTTAACGCTGAGTCTAGGAACAGGAATCTCCTCTCGATTTTGTTGTGTTCCGATCACCTAGGATCAAGAGATAGTCTTAAATTAAATCTTACCACATTGATCACACACACAAAAATAGAATGAATGGAGTACCCCAGGCTTTGCCACTCTGCTCCAGCAGTTGTAACACAGTTGCTCTTGTATCTTTTATTCCTTCATGCTTTTCTAACTACCCTCTACTATTTTTACACAAGCACAGTCCATCACATCATTCCACCTACATACAGCTAACTTGAACTTCGTGGTTAAAGCCTGCTGATCTCACCTACATCTGTTTTCTCAAGCTTACTGCTATGACAGCGTCTTCGCTAATGAAGAACTAAGGCTGGACACTTTTAAGGACTGGCCCCATAAATCACCTGGAGCAGTTGAGGCTATGGTCAGAGCAGGTCTATTCTACACAGGTGAGTCAGCTTTGTATTTTCTGTCTTTTTTTGTTTTTGTTTTTGTTTGTTTGTTTGTTTGTTTTTGTTTTTCAAGATAGGGTTTCTCTGTAGGTTTTGGAGACTGTCCTGTCACTCCCTTTGTAGGCCTGGCTGGCCTCAAACTCAGAGATCCGACTGCCTCTGCCTCCTGAGTGCTGGGATTAAAGGTTGCACCACCACCACAGCCTGGTTTAGCTTTGTATTTTCTTTATATTTATGAGTGTTTGCCTGCATGTGCGTGTGTGTGTGCATGTGCGTGTGTGTGTGTGCATGTGCGTGTGTGTGTGCATGTGTGTGTGTGTGTGTGCATGTGTGTGTGTGTGTGTGTGTGTGTGTGTGTGTGTGTGTGTGTGTGTGTGTGTGTGCCATATGTCTGTGTGGTGTCCTCAGAGGCCAGACAGGGTGTTGGATCCTCTGGAACTGGAGTTATAAATAGCTGTGAGTCATCATGAGGCTTCTGGAACCAAACCAGACTCCTTTGTGAGAACAACAGATGCCTTTAATGCTGAGCGTCTCTCTAGCCCCTCAGTGAGCATTTTGTGTCTACCACATGTCTAATCCTGCTCTTGCTTCTCTATACTTCATTTGTCATTGATCTCTTTGGGAGTCCATAAGACCTTCAGTTTTCCATAGCTCAGCCTCTGAACTTGTGGATGCTGCAGTCACCTCGTCTAACAGACATATCCCACTGGCACAAATGATCTTACCCTTTGTCTCCTCTTACCAGCCTTCCTCAAGTCTCACAGATAACATGCTCCCATTTCTAGTGAAACAGATGGCAATAATGTGAGGAGAGACAAGTGATTCTTCATAATCTAGATTGCATAGAGGCTCCTAAATTTGTTCTTCTGTCTCACCCCCAGCTACAAGTATATTCTTTCTGATTTATTCATTAAGCAAACGCTTGTTGATCATCTGTGTCTGTGAAAGCCACTAGTGTCCAAATCAGACAGAAATCTCTGCTCTCCTGGAGCTTCTGTTCCAGATTCTGATGACAAATCTTTCAGGATGATGGGTTTGGGAGAGAGTGTTCAAGGCACACGGTGCACAGGAACATTCGATGACTGTTGTCAATCACCCTATTGAAGGACCAAGAGTCCTGTGTGAACTGTTGCCCCCTGGTGACCTGTGCCTGACTTTGCCACACAATCCAATTGCAGATGCAAGTAGGATTTCACTGGTGAAATCTGGAGTTATTGTCTGCTTGTGAGTTGACAGGTGTATGTGCTGTTGAACTGACCATATTCCCTTATTCTAGGCAAAAGTGACACTGTCCGGTGTTTTTCCTGTGGAGGATGTATGTGGAAATGGGAGGAAGGTGACGACCCCTTAGAAGATCACGCTAAGTTTTTTCCCAAGTAAGCAAGATGAATTCTCTTGACTTTGAAGGTACTCCAACAGTTATTCCCTCATGTCCATGTTTTACCTGTGGATAGTCTCTGGATACTCCTTTGGTTCCCATTGTGAATGAAACATCCTTGTATCTTCATCTCCTTCCTCCCATGATGCCCTCCCTGTCTAACTTTTTTCTAATCATAGTTAGATCTTGGTTTGGGTTGTGTCCATATACACATATTTAAAGGCAAGATCTCTCTCTATAGCCCAGACTACTGTAGAAATGCTATCTAGCGCAGTGGGACTTGAACTCATGATCCTCCTGCCTCAGCCTCTCAAGTGCTGGTACTACAGAGAGATACTACCATGTCTGACAATTCCATGCCTTTCTGAGTCTTTTGATTGCAAGCTGGTTTCCCTGTCCCCTTCCTTCTTGTCTGAGATTTTCTAAGTGGTTTTCTTTTTCCAGAGTTGGGGATGGAACCAATGATTTGGGCAAGCTAGGCAATCCCTTTACTATTGAGCTACTCTATCCCCCTTTTCTGTCAATCTTCAAGTTTATTTTTATTTCTTTTCTACACATAAAAAACTCTAGAAATTCTGAATTGCAAAATGAAATTTGTTGTTTTTACTTAGCAATTAGAATTTTCAGAGATAAATATCAATAAATACAAATTGAAAAGTGAGTATTTCTGGGTACACTGGTGGACACATGGAATCCTAACTCTCAGAAAGCTGAAGGAAGGAAAACATAGCTTTGTTTTATATTAAATGCTTTAACGTGAATTATCTAAAATGAATCTATTTTTAAAATCCAGCACTTGTAATTGAGAAATAACAGTCTTTTGCCATGATATCCCTTTGAAAGCATGAAAATCTGCAACAGTGTTGGTGTCTCTGTGGTCTTTGTTCGGTTCCACAGTTATGTTCTGTGTATATTCAGTGCACACCTAAAATTGCACCAAATCGTTTTGGCATTAGAAAATTGTTAAGTCTAATTACTTTTTTTAAAATTTATTTATTAGTTCTAGTTAGGGAACAAGCTTGTTTCACATGTAAGTCCCTTCTCCCTCTCCCTCCCCTCACCCCCATTCCTCCTCCCCCACCCCCAGCCCACCCCCC